AGCACAAGGACAGTCACAACCTGTACCATAAAGTGCAAACAATTTTCAATCCTACTGTCCAACAGACAACACCATGATAGGAATAAAGAAATTTAAACAAGTTTTCAAAATGCACACAAAATTAAATGCCCAAAAGACGCCAGAAATCAACTAAAACGCAACAGGATCCCACTGTTATTAACAAGCTCCTCATTTAATGATTTTAACTGACACTTGTTTTTACATCAATTGCTTATATGTTTGAATTGTGTAAATAAAGTGCTGTTAAAAGTCAAAAGTCTTCTTCTATTTTTTAATGGCGATTATGTGTCGGTTCTGTGACACGGGTTAAAATTTCCGGCCGCATTTAATTTTTTCACCATTATTATTATTTTTTTTTTTACTCAGTAACGTGAGGCGGTTTTAAATGTAGTGAACTAAAACTACTTAGGTTGAAATGTACTCAAGTAAAAGTAAAAAATTACATATTTCAAAAACTACTCAGAAAATTACAAATCACTCATAAAAAGTAATCAATTACAGTAACGTGAGTAAATGTAATTCGTTACTTTCCACCCCTGCTTCTGATCAACCATTTTTAAAATACAATCAAACTTTGAGGCCTGTTGTAAAAAAACTGAAAGACTTACTTGTACATGCAGCCTGACTTAAACCTGCTAATGCTTTAGCTCTGTGTTTCTTTAGTCACCAAGGAGAGGAACGAGGAGTTCAGGCATACTACAAGAGTTCCCCCAGTCCCTCTGTCCATGGTTTTCTCGGGGCCGGGGAGGTGGAACGACCAATGGACTCTTTGTGGAACATAATCAGCCAGACGTCCAAGAGCCACATGTATAACCAGTCAGTTCGCTCTGTGTGGACTCGACCACTAGATGACAGCACTCAGCTGGGTGAGCCCACAACCTTATCCAGTCTGGCTTACATCCTCTTACAGAATTAAATGGCTGTTTATATGAAGCACATGTAGATCTATTAGCTGTAAAAACTGTGATAAGGCCTTAACTAAGGAAATTAAAAGCAAAAAAGAACCCACTATAAGGTCCCTGAAGGCATAAAAGAACTTAGCTTGGTATGGATGTTTTTTTGATCCTTTAGTGAAATTCTTATATGCATAATATTTGTATATTTTTTCTTTAGGCCCACAGTGCGCTCACATTCATCACTGACAAGATTATTGTAGCGCAAAACCAGATTTGCTTTTCCACCTGCAGCACCCTGCACAGCTTTTTGTCGGTCTGTTCCATAAAATCCCAATAGAATACATTAAACGTTGTGGTTTTAACTTGAACTATGAAAAAAAAAAAGTTGCATAAATAGCATTTTAAGAAACTTCTAACGTTTATTTTCGAGAACTAACTTTTTGTCATAAATGTATTCTTTTACACAGAAATTAAACTTAGAAACATAACAATTATGATTTACTTCTAATATATTTTATACATCTGTGTTTTTTTTGTTCAGTTTACATTTTAACAGATCCGTCTGCCTGCCACCTCAGCCAGCCGCGGGACTTCTGCTGCATCAGCACTCAGTCTAAACAGGTAAGCTGCAAATTCCACCCGAATGGCGGAATGATTATATCTGCTCTTCTTTGTGCTGAGGTCAGTTAAGCTCTGGAAGCAGTGGCACGCTTTACGGTAAATAAAACACTCAATTTCCTCAGGTTAGATACCATGCAAACAGCAGTGGCAGCCTGTAGAGTTATTTCTTCCACAATAGGTACAGCGTGTATTTTACAGACACCTCACGCTCACTGAACAGAAAGCATGAATGACACTGACCCAGAGGCGGTACTTGCAGAACAAACCATGTCAACTTGTTGTTCTGGGTGTTGGAAGAGTTCCCTCTGCTGATCAAAAGGGCTTTGCAGGCTGTTTTATTGATGGATTCTTCTCTCTCACTCAGGCTGGTTTAGGTATCCTGGCTATGCAGTCTGTGTTTGAGGAGTCTCTGCCTCGTCCCAGTGTTGACGCCATCCGGGGGGAGATGCTGCCCAGCTGCTGGATCCTGCAGCCGGTGATACGTGGGGAACAGGAGCTGACCAGAGTCATCTACTTGCTTCAGGTCAGATATGTTAGTCATTTATTGGTACATGCAAGTATTCATTCCTCCTGTATGGTTATGGATTTTATGTGAGATACATACATAAAATAGAGTATAATTAATATTAGTATAATTCTCTCACCATCAAGCAAGTTCTTAATAAAAAA